TTACAACTACAAAGAAATCCCAGTCAGCTAACGACAGTGTGCCGTACTCAAGATAGCCGACACTATCTTGCAAACACGCAGGTCACCCCGCCTGATATTTGCCTTCACCATAGTAACTCATCATTGGTAATCATTTTAGAATCCGCCCACAGCGCCTGCGTGCTCCCTCACGCACACGTCGATGATTCAGAGAGGCGAGCTGATCCTTTGGTACAGAGAAGAATGTACAGGGGGGAAAAAAAGGGGAATGAAAGACAGATGAATTGTGGTTTCCACTGCAAGTTGTGAGTCACGAACACGAGGGAGGGACAGAGACAGAGAAAATTATTCTGGGATGGCTGCTATAGCAACATAATAAGCAAGGGGGCAGGTACTTCCAGGGGTGTTTCCATAGCAATGCTCTGTGTGTGTATGGATAAATATCACATGCCACAAAGATGTTGGTAATGTAGGGAGGAACTTTGCGCTACTTTGTTTGTGATTGTTTTTTTTTGATATTTTAGAAGAGATGATTCCCCACCCGTTCTTTTCATGTCTGCACACTCGACTCATCTAAACAGATGCTGGGAACACCTTTCACAAGTCTTGGCCTGCCGTCACAATGTGCAGTCAGAGTAATTACGCTACAAGCTTACTTTTAGGTGTATTACTGATGCCCAATTGTTTCAACATGTCAGTCCCTGGAAACTCCTTGGATTTGACACATTCATGTAGAGACAGATACTTCTGTGTGTGCATATGACAGCCCACCATGTGATCCCTTTCTGTACAGTGTCTGACAATCTCTCACTGTTAACTGTTTTGAATCATTGATCCAAGGGAATGAAGGGTTTTGCAAGACTTGTTCCTCCCTTTGGCTCACCAGCCATCTGTTGTGCTTCAACGGAAGGAAAAACCCTCCTTAGCTGTACATTCCAGTCATAGCTGTAAATGGGCCAACTCTTTCTTTGGGTGTGATGTACATCGTACACCACCAACAAGTCAATACATGAAACTTTAATCTATACGTTCACATGCAGGGCTGGAGTACATGTTTGTTCAGAAAGCTCATCCAGACCTAAACTGCCTCTTTAGTAACCAAACAATGAAGGCGGAAGTCTATTAAATGTCTAAAAACAATGTAAGTTACTCTAAACAGTGCTGATTTTAGTTCTTATACCTGCAAAGTACCTGCTTTCAACAAGGTACAATTGCAGTCGTGTTTCGTGGGAAGATAATGGATAGCTTGGTGCCAATAGGAAAATTTAAGGTTCAGCACACACCCAAACCACAAAGTGCTGGCGAAGCTATGACAACTAATTTTTAAAGGTAGTATTTCTCAAACACAGTTCTGAATATTATTGGAAGGTAGTGTATCAACTGGAAGTATGATGAAAGGGAATGAATTAGTATTATTATTTTCCTTGACAGTTATCAATATTTCTACACTCTGTAGTCGTGCTGCGTATTACAGTTTTGCTTTAGTTTGACAATATCCCTCAGTGCTCCACCTCCAGATTCTGGTAATATGAGCCAGAGGCAACTCTGGGGTTTCATGTCCAAAAGCGCAGGGGCTGTCTGTTTTCCCTCTGCCGTACCTCTCTCGCTCTTCCTTCTTGTCACGCACTTTCCTCTCCACTCTCACACTGGCAACTTCTGTTGCAGGGCAACGCAAACCCACCAAGAAATAACTTATAAATAATCCCATTTCCAAACAACAATGTCCCGCTTCAATTTAAGGATGTTACTTGCAAGCATTGTTATGGAGCAAAGCCTCCTTGGATGCTGTAACATATCATCTTGTCTCTCCCTGCCTTATTCAGCGATATCCCCTTCAGCAAACTCACCCCTGACCTCCCTCATTCCATTCCAGTACTAAATTACTATGCTGAGTTGTAGTGCAGAGAAAAAGTTCAAACCCCTTTAAGTGCACCAATGGGAAGAAACGCCCCTCTCTCCGGAACCGAGGTTAAAATACAAAGGTCACTTTTCTTGACTAATCGAAACAGATCACATCAGGTTGTATGTAGAAATGCATTTCTACCACCGTCTAATGTTTGCCTGCTTTACATAATTCCCCTGCTTTACATGCGTTTGTCACTGTCCTTACTTGCCTTCCCTAGAATTCCAGTCTAGCATTCACATGGCTGTACCTCAAAAGCAAAGGGGGCATGCTTAAGGTGGAGAAGCCCTCAAGTGCTGACTAAGGATCCATATTCCTGCCCCCTTTGCTTTTGTTCAGGTTTAGTGTGTTTGTGTCAGTGGGGTTGCAAGCCCAAACCCAGACTAGGGTCTAAGGGAAACTCCATAAAACTCGGAGGGTGGGACTCTGTACGTGTGGCGGCTGAGTGTTGTTTCTGTTCGCCTTGAGACGCTCCTACGACAGTCTGACATTACTTACACAATGTTGTTTCGACCATTAAGCCCAGACACTGTGGCAGAGCTGTAAACATCTCTAAAGGGGAAGGAATATCTATTTACTGTATGTTATTTGCGGCTACAACAACAAATAAATTGCTCATTCTACTGTTTGATTATAACTTCTCGAGTCACCAAGACGCTAAACCCAGAAAATAACTTCTTTAGCAACAGCATCTGCAATGTATTGAGCTTATTTAAAGGAAACTTTGTCAGTTGTCAGCTTCAGACTCCCCAGTGTTAGCCCTTCTCCTCGCTGTTCCAAGCCCCCCCACCGGCCGCCTCACTCTTTACCAGATGTGTCTTCCACCACCAGATGCTCAGCACATGCATAAAGCTGCTACAGGGGGCTAACAGCCACACAGGGACCTTATGTGGTGAAACAATACAGCCTCTCTCTGGTGTTCCTCCCTCGCCACCACTCCTAGCTGCTGCAACAGCTTTTAAGACCCCCACCCCAACACCAGCACATGTATGGACATAGAAATATGTCCAGAGCGCAAGGAGAGAGGAAGAGAAGAGGAAGAGAGGAAGGAAGAAGTAGTAGTGAGTGTGTGGCCAAGAGAGAAATAAAGACCAGGGCGAGGACGGTTGGCAGGGCTGGAAGAAAGAATGTTGCTGTTGGCATAAAACTGCGTATTGTTCTTGTGGTTGGCTTTAGTTTTGCTTTTTAACTCTAAAATTACAAAACACAAATAAGGATCAGAAAACAGTTTGGAATATCGTAGCCTTTGCAAAGGAAACTTGCTTCAAGAGCGTAAAACTGAATTGTTTTTTCCTCACATTAATTTCATATTTGATTGCAAGATTACAAGGCTTTTGTAACACCACTCCTTCAGCAATCAAAGGGTTAGCCACCAGCGGTGTTGTAACTGCTGCAATGAAGTTGGAGTTATTTGCTCAAGTTACAGCCCTCTTCCACCACGATCCACAGGATGGGTGAGTCATGTGTTCAAGGACTTGGGCGCTTTGCTGTTGTGGGAACATTTCCATTTTCTGATTTCCATCAGACTACAGAACAAACTAAAATGGCCTCCCTGATTCAACACTATGGCGGAAGATGGTTGAACCAAAAGGATCTTGAATCACGCTGAGGTTGGAAAAAATTACAGCTCTGACTCACTCCCGGATGGGATTCCTTTCTTGTGCATTTCGTGTGTGTGTGTGTGTGTCACAGAAAAACAGATCCACCCAAGATCTTTTCAGCTTTAGATTTAACATATTTAGGGATAAAATGAGGATTGATTGTGCTAAATATATTACTAAACATCTCGAGACTAACATTCAAAGATGTGAATTTGTATTATGAAGATAAATAAATCACATGGGCCGTCCCAGGTGTCCTATTTTACCTGCAGCTATAAATGACAATGAATCACCAAACAAAGAATTCAGTCATAGCTGAAGGTGTGGGAACAATCAAATGAGGAAAAGTGCAACACAAACTGATATGGTTGGGTGTGTCCGATTAAACCAAACGGTTCGTATTCACAGTCCAATATTTACTCTATTGGGACACAAATCCTGAAGCTTTAGAAATATTTCCCTCACTCATTAGGAAAGAAGTCTGTTTTTTGATTTAGGCATTCAGAGATATATATATATATATATATATATGCAGACTACACACTATTCCTGTTAATGTAAATATCAATGATACCAACTTGCAGAAGTTGGCACCAAAACATTTCTACATTTAAGTGCGGTCAAACTAGAACAGTTTTTATATCTGCCTGTAATAAGTCATCCTCAAATATAATTTACAAACAATGCAGGTTGTTGATAAAATACAATTTAGTGGATTAATATAAACTGTCAGTGTCTACTTAAAAGATATTGTAGACAGTATGCAGACTTCTTTTTTACAATGCAGTCTGTTAAACTTGGAAAGGAAAAGGCCCATGGCCTTGTACAAGACGTTTAAAGGGCATTCAAGGTTCTTTATAAAATATTTTCAGGCGTCCGCTCTTTGGGAAAGTACCAGAAACATCAAAACAAGCCATAGTTCGAAGCAGACAACATTCTTGTCTTAGATTGAGCAAACCACAGAGCTCAGACCAGTAATTCTCTCTCCCTATTGGATGTTCCCCATTCAACACGCCCAATGGCTTTCCAAGTCTCTGGCTGCCCCCTACTGGACTAAGAGAAAACAGCAGCATCACTTATGTAAGTGTAATGGTGAAGAACTGCTCCTCGGGGACTAATTCAAGCGTTATAAAACTAAAAAGTTTCCCAGTCGAGATGCTAAATGTATTCACCCGTTCACATCAGCAGTACAGGTGGAGAAATGTGTCTAGTATGATTTGACACCCAGCTGAGAAGCTTTGTTTAACCGAGTCTTCTGATTTAAAGTTCAACTTGTGACGTATTGCCGACCACACACAGCATTGCCAGTCGCTGTGGTCAGAAAGGCGCACCGTTATACCATGCACCAGGGAACTCATGCTGGGAAAACAGCTTTTCTTGAACTGTAGCAAGGTTTCCACTTCTACTTCTGACTGGAGGTGAATGGAAAAACTGTTGCAGAGCTCTTCATATTTTGCTCATTGTGTACACTAAATTGATTACAGAGGAAAAAAGACTTAAGTCAGACCACAGACATATCCCATAGATGGCATTGTGGAAAATGCTTTTATTTCACAGGTCAAAACAAAAAAAAAAAAAACAAAAAAAAAAAAACAGTTTGGGGCCACTGAGACAATTCACTCCCACCTTAAACACTGTAATTCAAAGTCATTCTTGCAGTAAAGTAAGCACGTGGTGGCTGAAAGTCAATCAACTTTAAGTGCGGGACAGCAGACTGTAGAGTGCTTTTGTTCAGACGTCCCCAGTGTCCTCTCACTTGAAGATCTTGCCCTGATTGAAGGCTTTACCCATGTGCTTAAATTCACCCTCCCAGGCAAAGTACTCCTTCACCATGGTCTTGCACTCCTCGCCGTTTGAATCCAGCTTGCGCCAGTCATATGATTCATAATCGATCTGCCAGTCTGGAGATAGCTAAGAGGGGAATAAAAACACATGTTTTTAATACGAGTGAATTACCGTCGGGTCTGATGAATTGATAATGTACCACTACTTGACAGTGGAGAGTAATTGGACCATCACATGGTGTGCATTGAAATGCAGACCACGTGAGCTTCGGTGTAACAAATTCAAGAACGTCAAGCTAGAAAAGATTTACTAGAACATGGTCTCATGCAATCTGTTCAGTCTAATTTAGTCATTTGACTTAATTTAGCCGAAAGCCCAAACAGCATGGAAGACACCCATCAACCTAAAACATCTAATATTTAGATTTTGGGAATCATTTGTGGCCATAGCATGAACCAGCCTTTAACTCACTGAACAGAGATGACTGGGATGAACATGGTCTCTAGTTTCTCTTCCCCTGTCAGATTAAGACTTGGTGCCATGACTGGACACTGCCTTGCCCAAAGACTGGGGATCATCAGTTTCCTCCAAAGAGTTGAGCTTTGTTTATATCTAGATCTTTGGAGATGAATTGTGAAATACTGCAAGACATCGGCTTTTTGATTAAAAAGAGACTTTTCTGTCACTGAAAGTGATTCAGTATTTCATTTACATTATTGTAACAAACAAAAAAAAACACGATCAGGGATCTCTAAACGTGATTTACTCCTTTTCCGCTGATCCGATCCGTCACACCTCTAATGACTGGATTCAATGCATGTGTGCATGGACCCATGATACGCACAGTGACCTGCGCCACATAAGCTAGCTAGTTAATATTTGTAGTTTATGCAATTTATGAATTAGAATTGTTGGCGGACTCATGCGACGACGACCACCACAAATTGTTGACCCCAGAGAACCTGTCCCTTAAACCTAGCAGCATTTACTCTGCTTCCTTTAAAACTTAAGGTAATCAATAAATACGGACCCATCGGATGCACACCAAGATGAATAGTGCATAAGACACTTCAGTTAATCATGCGAATACCAATAAAAACTTACAGTAGTGAGCAATGGCATTACTCTCGAACAGACAGAAACCATCATCTCCCTGGTATGCAGGTACCTACAAACAACGGCAGAATTCAATGATTCAATGATTTAACACATTTCAATCCAGAGAATCAAGCAGTTTTGCTAATGATAATTGATTGCAGTGAATAATTTGCAATTGCAGACATCGACACTAAGCTACCGTGAACATGTGTTTTGGATTTTTAAAAATGTCATACAAGCACATCATAACCACACCAACCTTGCCAAGGGGGAAGTTGTTGAGGAAGGCAGGAGTGCGGTTCGTCTGCCCGAAGGTGAAGGCAGGGGAGTTGCTGGCGACTTTGAGGCGAGCCCCACTGTACTGGGCTGCAATCTGGGCCTTGAAGGCCCGCCAGTTCTCTGGGTACGTGTATAGTGTCTGGAGAGGGGGGAGAAAATAGCAATTGTTTAACTTAAAAATACACACGACTTCAGCATACATGTATCACATATTTGCTAGCATGTTGAACAGAAGTTAAGGCAACAGTAAGATGTTTTCATGCCAATAACTCACAATGGTTTGATACCAAAAAATTATGTATTCTGGCTGTATTTTAGTTCTATTAGATTAAAATACAATATGAAAGGACTTGACACACCGACACATCTATGAAAATATAAGTGGTGCGTTAAATAAAGCCACAGAATCAGTTTGAGTGAGATAGCTTGGTCTGGTAGTGTTCTTGACACAAATGGTTAATGCTATATAAACCTGGACGCACGACCATTTAAAATTAGACTGGGCTGGAATGGAAGCAGGGTGAAGCTGGAGTCTAATTTATTTAGATAAAACTAACGGCTACCAATGCCAAATGTACGTAAACTACGAGCAACTATTGTTTCACGTGGTTTTCAGCTTGCTTTAAATGCTAACTAATGCTAGCTACCAATACTGGTAATATAGCTTTAGCCAAAGTAGCTTTAGACAAAGAGAGTGCCGGTTTGTCGTAGACCTTCAAACACAGGACATGAACACTAAGGTTGTGCCAAATTACCTTTAAGTGCAACAATACGTTTTTACAGCTAGATAATAGTCACGGCAACGTGGCACAAGCCTGGGTCGGAAGAGGGGCGTCATTCTCTGCGAATGCTACGTCAGGATAGCAAAAAGCTAACTGTAGTTTATACGAACACTGAATGAAATTCTTCGTAAATACGCTCAATAACGGCTACCTAACAGACCTAAAACATCGTTTACGTTAAAAGGAACTCAATAGCAGGGCAGATGGTCCGGATTTACGGCGGATTGCGCCAGGAAAGTGAAAAGAGAAACCCCAAAAGTGCATATTTCCATTTTACTCACCCCCGCCGCCATCTTCAGGACGAGAGAAAGAAAGAACGAGCGCTCTACTGACGTATTTACGTCCGCGAGTCGTGCGCGCACTTGCGACGTTTCCGCGTTCACGTGTCGCCTCATGTTGCTTTGCCACATCACACAGATGCAGTTGTGCGTCAAGTCTTTTTGCAGATTAAGAAAGATCAATGCTCTGACATATTAACATGCTGAGACATTTAAAACCGATACAAAGATATAACAAATGAAATACTTTATTACAGTCAGTGTACAAAAAACAAAACCATATATAGTTGAGATAGAAATTGTGAATTCTACAGAGAAACAATACATATTCTGCTTCTGCATTGTATGCCATTTTGCTATAGATTTAGCAAAGATTATCCTGGATTTACTGTGCAGCATTATAACAAAATGATGTTGATATGGGGCTTCTCCACCTGTCACCGTATCAATCAGTGTAGAAAAATATTAATTTTAACAACGAAATAACTAAGCTACTACAGAAAATGTCCCATGTGAAATGTACTCCCTCTGGGGCGAATCAGCTCACAAGACCTGGAAGTACAGAAGGCAAGTTCAACAATCATTTATAAAACAGAAAATAAAACATTTGAAGCTATATCACATTACTGTGCAGAATAACTTCACATTGACGAACAGATTCAGAACCTGTATGACTATATTCTGTGTAATACTCACCCAGATAATCATCCATGAGAGAACCGATGGCAAACTGAGAAACAAGAGAAAAGCTTGTTGTTAACTTCTCGTATATTAAGATACAGTACATCACTTTTATAAACTGCTGTGTAACATCTGATCCGAAGAAGAAAAACACTTACAATGTCATTCTTGTCCACTCTTGTTCCCACAATCTTTAGCCTAATCTCGTCATCTTGCTGGATTACAATGTCCTTGAAAAGAGGAGAAAACATCCAAGACTCAGAAACAGTAAAATAATAGGAGCACAACAGTGTGCAGCACTGCAACTTCTTTGTATCCAGAATGTATGGCATTGTACTTTTATTTCACTCGTGCTTTATTATGTTGTCTGAAAAATAACTTTGTTTACCCCAGCGTTACTATAATTACCTGGATTTGTACGAGTTCATTCATTTTAAATGTTGTCAAAGGCAAAGCAAGGAAAATATTTGGTGAACATCTATAGAAATAAAAACTGGTGTTTATTTTAAACTTCCAGCTGCTAATAAGCAACAATTAATAAATTCTTACCTCATCAACTGTCTTATAACAAGGAGGATTGGAGTTGGGATCGAACTCCATTTCTGAAGGGATGGACTGAAAACACAAAGTTTCTTGTAAGATAAAGATTGGAGATCAACCGACAGTGGACCTTTTAAAGGCAGATATAATAACAATAGTTTGGAACAGGAATTAGCTGACATCTTAAAAATCGGACACATCAGACTCAAAGTAATTCAAAAATAAATCTGAAACTGAACATCAAAGCATACATTTATTTTGAATGAACAAATGTGAAAGTTTCAGTCGATGTTTATGACATGCTTTACTTCTGTCAGCAATTTTCTATATGCAAAATATCCGATTAATCGGTCAACCTCTAACAAAGAGGATATAAACCGAAGAGTCTATAAAAGTGAACCGTTTCGGTCACAACTATACATTTCATGCTGACTCACGTGCCGAGAGATGAAGCAGGACATGGGACCAATTTCTGTGAACAATCCAACCTGCAAGAAACAGAGAAAAATATCCACTATCAGCTATTTATCACTTAGTAAATATTCAAAACATCAACCACTACAGAAGCATAAAGTCTCCCCTGGAGGCACATTTACTATGATAAAGTTAAAAGATCTGATCATTAACCAATATAAAATATGGGTGTTTACAATTATCTTTGCCATTATCTATGTTATCTTTAAGATTTATATTGCAAAGCACCTCGTTTTACTTTTTAACACAAGTTTTAGCCATTCAAATAGCCAGTTGCATTACTGTGCCAATTTTTCAGAAGCAAATGTACACATTTTGGCATTGGACAATTAGATAAAAAGCAGTGCAGTGTCAAGATGATTTATTATAGTATCAATATGTCAGATTTCACATGTCATCAGATACGATATGTTCCAGCTTAAACATCTGCATCGTGGCCAGTAAGCTGTATTGTCCCATACCTTGTTGACCTGAGTGACCACAGCGTCAACCACCTCCCCTTTAAACGGGCGGAACACAATGGCCTTGTACTTGACGGGGTAGAGGACAAACCCTCTCCCCGGTTGTATTACACCTGCCCCGATGTTGTCAATGGTGGTGACTGCGATGACAAAGCCATACCTGAAGGGAGGGACACACATAAATCAATAACATGTGGGAATATAAATGCAAAGTTAATAACTTCCCGACGCAGGTGAATACCGTCTTGATGACTTAAAGGGTGTAACAAATATCGGCCCTGATCTGTTGCCTTTGATTGTGTTTGTTTTTTAATTTGAAATTTTAAGCAATGTTTTCCATAGGCCATACTTTAAAATGACTACAGTATTTGAAATTATTACACAAGTTGTCAAATTTTCTATCCCAGAGGATGAGATTTCTGCCTCTTCCTGAAAGGGTGTACACATACTCACCTGTGCATAGGGTTTATTAAGTTCACTACACTTTAGTAACACGTTACAACCTAAACTTCCACTGAAATGACAGGTGAACTTGAGTCTCGCAGCGACTCACTTGCCAGTGCAGGTACCCTCCACTTCTGTGAACAGCTTCTGCTTCACGGTGTTCAGGAGGTTAGGGCCAAAATACCTCGGATGTAGTAAGATTTCATGCTCCAAAGAAATCTGATAACACAAAACAATACACGCATTATAAGACACCGCTTGCATTGATAATGCGGGTTGCACACTGTTGTAGATGTTATGCTGTTTTAAGGTATGTATGTGATACTACGGTGGCCCCCACACTGCATCTGTGTAATCACAGACGAGAGAGCTGGTGGTGTTTCTGCCTGGCTATAAAACAACAACGCTAACCACAGCGTGGAGGATTTTGAGAAGTTTTGTTGAGCTACAATAGCTACGCTAACCGATTACGCTCGGCACACATTGATAAATCAAAACACCACCACACGGCTAATATCCGGCTCACACGCGGAGGGTATTACACATACTTACATGGTAAAACATTTTGCCGTAATGTTCAATTCGTAATTTTTTTTTTGTTTTGATAAATTATCCAAAGCGTCTTGACAGAATCCGCCGCTCAATCGCGACCGGTCGCTGTTAAGTCATTTCCGGGGCAAAGGGTAGATAGATGGTCTTTTGTTGATGCCAGTGCGCTCTATACTGACTCCTGGCGACGAGGAGGGGTACTGCATGAGAGTGGGAACAGATCATAGACTATGATCTGTCCCCACTCTCATGCAGTACCCTTCCTCGCCACCTAGATTCTAGGTTATTCAGAATCAGAATCAGAATCAGAATCAGAATCAGCTTTATTGGCCATGTATGCGTGCGCACACATGGAATTTGACTCCGGTTACACATTACTCTCATCGTACATACACACATGAAATATGTACAATAAACAAGAGAAATATAAGAAAAACAAGGACATTTAACAGCTATATACAATGTAAGTATAAATATATCCCAAACAAAAAGTATATATATGATACAATAGTGCAAACAGAGTGCAATGTTACTTATTTATTGTTCATAAGAGTGACGGCCAGTGGAAAGAAGCTGTTCAAAGTGAGAAGAGGATATTTGTGCACCAGTTGTGTCCTTTTACCTGTAGGCAGATTTCATCATGTCATCCTTGCAGTAGTGGTAACATCCTCCAAATACATACAACTTTCCCACCATTGCTGCTACTCCATGCCTGATATTTGGCTTGTCTGACATCTCATCCAGCCTCCTCCACTCAATCTTCTTCACCAAACCTATACCACTGCGTAAGGAGTTTGCAAGCCACAGTTCCCTGCTTGGTATGCGCTGTCCCACATCTGGGTTCAGCTGGTCTCCCCCGACCACAACCAGGAAGTCTTTGGGACGTCGGACCCGGCACTGATCCTGGGTTTCTGGAAGGCTGAAACCAAATTCCTTGAGCGCTGAACCATAGAGTTACACCTCTTTGTTTCAGACGCTCTCCATGCGTAGGTTAATGGCCCTGACCTCTCGAAAGGTCATGAGGGGGAACCGGACTCCAGTCATCAGTACGCCAGCCTGGCCCAACCTCTCCTCAGGATCATCAGGATTATCCAGACTAAACTAAACTGTATTAGATTATTGGCCTGTTTATATCACATCATTATTTGACTGAAGTGTTATGTGCACTTTCTTTTTTATTACACACAATTATGAATGAATGAATGATTTTGCTCTTGATTGTTTTGGATCATCTCTTTCAGGCATTTCTCTGCTGCATTACGTCTCTAGTCTTGTTCTGTCAAATCGTGCGCATTGGCTTCCATTAAAAGTGCACTATACGGGGTTCAGAATGGGATTTTTTTTTTTGAGCGCCGCATGACATAATAATTATGTTAAAACCACAGACCCCTATCCGTTTCTTGCTCAAAAGGGCTAATTTTGTGGGCAGTTATTTTTATATAAAATCTGCATTTACCTTGGAAAAAGAATCATAAAGATGGTTTTCTTTTTTCCCATTGCGTGGCTGTTGCGTGAACCCAGCAAAAGTTTCGATTGAGTTACGTTACATGTCAGAATAGTAAGAGAAGTCTACACATGGCAGAAAATCAAAGAGAGAGGTTTGGTGGTTTAAGTGGTGAGGGACATTCCCTAGATGTAAGAAAACTCTTGTTGCAACCTTGTCACAAACCGACAGTGACGAGTGAGACTCACGCAACAAAACAAATTATTAAATTAAAGGCAATATAAATGGCAAGCTTAAACTAACAGTGGTGTGTGAAATCAGTAATTCCAGCAGTGCAGGTGAGTGCATGAGTGGAAAGTGTGTGTATCGCTTTGAAAACAAACCACGATGTCAACCAAAAAACATATGAGTGTCTCAGGCAGGAGACAGGAACCTACTGAGACTAAACAGGGTTTTTAAAAGAGTGCACTGGCACAAAGGGCCCATGTGTTGCCAGTGTTGCTGATGAGCTCAGGTGTTTCCACTCTGCTGATGACCCTTTGCCACGCCCACCTCAAAAAAGGTAAAAGGGAGCTGCCACACAAGACTGGCACAGGAATCCTAACTTTGCAAACTGGTCAAGTAAAGAACCTTAACTTCTCTCTGAAGATGGTCACCATGGTGGTTTTTCTTCTGGCTTTTGTTGGAGCGGCATTATCAGAATCCCCACACAGACGGAGGTGTGACCTGGAGCAAGGACAAGAAACGCCGACTCTTTGCTCAAATTACAAAAACATTTTACACCTCGATGATGTTCAGACAAAACTTGAAGAGAGCCAAATGCTGCTGCGAGAGAGGATTGACGCTCTGGAAGGTAGGACCAGACTGCAGCTTGATTCTGCAAGCGGCAACATTAGTGCGCTTGAAAAGTTAGTGACAAATGTTTCAAACGCACAAAAGGACTTGGAAGAGATGGTGTCACAAACTGAGATGGAGTTGAGAGATGCAAAGACAAAGCTGGAGGAACAGGAAGTTGACATTGCCAGCCTGAAGAGAGAAGTTAGAGAACTGGTCAAACACGGGGAGAGAGTCGGGGGAAACATCAGTGAGATTGAGGAGAGACTTGATGCAACTGAGAGGCAGCTAAGGGAGAGAAAAGGGAAACTTGACAATCTGGAGTCAGAAACTGGGGCTGCGTTCAATGCCACACAGAAACTGCTGACTCTGTACAAGAAGGAACTCTCCCGCCTTAACTCGACGGCCCAGGAGCTTGAAGTCAAAGTCGAAGCCCTACTGAATGCCACGGAGACGCAACTTGAAGCTAACTTGACGGCAATACAAAATGACAGCAGCGGTAAGTTTTTAAAAGTCTGTATTATCTTAAAAAACTTTTTTTTTTTTTTTTGTTTTTTGTTTTTTTTAAAAACAAGTGTTTTTATGAGTTGACTGCAAAAATGTCCTTTTGATAATGACTGAAGCTTTCAGCACAAAACTGAATGATCAAAAGGCTGAAGTTGATGGATTCAGGAATGTTGAAAATTGCAGAAGGCTGACATTGACTGTCTGAAGAGCGACGAGATAGTACAAAAGCTTTGCAACTTGTATGCTGAAAATAGATAATTACTGAGCTGCTGCTTTTTTATAAATGTAGAATGTAAATTCTGTTTTTTTTTCTTTCCTGCAGAACTCGGAACTGAAGAAAGTGAACTCTCATTAGGGGGGATGCGCCTTACAGCAGAAGGTAAGGGAAAGTATAGTAAGTAATGGCTCAAGATGCCAAACGCAGACAACTGAATTTAACAGTGTTTACTTTTCTTTCGTCAGTCAATGCCAAGGTGGCCTTTTCTGCAACTATAATGGAATCCAACGATGTGTTCACTGGACCCGGCACCAACGGCACCAACAACATTCTCATCTATAACAGAGTCTTCACAAACGTTGGCTTCGCTTACAACTGTAAAACAGGTATGTTCTAGATGCATAACCTTCAGAAAACTGACCAATGATTAACCAATATGAAAGGATGCATCTTTAATAAAATAGAATGCATCCTCTATATTATTGGATATCATATGGGAAACATTGATTTCATAATATGGTCAGAACATTGCGAAATCTTCCTTCCACGGCGTCTGAAGTTTTTTTCACAAGTTGCCTATAAGTCCATCGAGCTTTAGGATGTGTTGGTAGGTGATTTTGTTACTTTTAGAATAAAGGTGGCTAATTGTTTCCGCAGTCTGTAATCGTTATGCTAACCAGCTGCATGGCTTTATCTTTATTTTTAACATGCAGACATGAGAGTATCGATCTTATCATCTAACTGAGAAGATGGTGGTTATTTGTGTTTCCGTTGAGTAGAAAAATGTATTAAGAACCAAGTAAGGACAAATGTTTTTATAACTTATTGATGTCATTGCATTCTCCTCTTCAACAGGCATCTTCACTGCTCGACTGAAAGGCGTTTATCACTTTTCATTCATGACTTTCGGCTACAACGGTCACACTTCAGGAGCCATCCTGGTGAAGAACAGGCATTACCAAGTGAGCACCTGGGAATTCACCGGCTCGGATAACGGTGACACCACCAGCAACACGGTAATCCTTGAGCTGAATGTCGGAGAGACCGTCAACGTCATCCTGTGGAAGGGTGGAAAAATACATACAAGTGTGTTCAGTGGGTTCCTCATCTTTCCAACATTGTAGATTTTAGAATGAGATGCCACAGTTTCATATTCAGGGACGCATATCTCAATCTGTTCTTCCTCCTTTCAGCAATTTCTCTCGTAAAGTTTAAATATTTGAGGATTGTTGAAGTGTCAAAATAAAAGAAATGAAACAAATATGTTGTAAAACTGTTTTGGCTTCCTGTGCAACAAACGCCTCACTACTAGTTAAAGATGCTTTTAAAACCCGAGATGAACATTGGGTTGTACATCTCCACGCTGTCTAGGTTGGTGTTGATCTCCACCAATGGCATAAAGACGCTCTTCGTGTACCACCACTGAGAAGTTTCTTCTAAACTCCTGCCTTTTCCAGCTGTCCTGCACGGGGTCATAACTATAGCATGTGTGCGATGGAAATGTTCAGACCCCGGCTGTGAATCTGTGGGACAATACTGTATATAGGGACAGAAAGTACAGACTGACCAACCAATTTAACGGTCGTGTCTAGAATGTAAACCACAAATTGCAAAACTCCCACAATGTTTAGGATATGTAACTCAAGAGTGTTTGCACTTTCTTTTGCAACTCGTGGGTACGTGATCCTCCAAATTCAAGCCCCATCTTGTACTACCTCGTCTGGAAGGATCAAGTCTAACAGCTTTATAACACAGGGATTGCAAAAAAATGTGACACAGGAAACTGGCATTTTTTAAAATCTCTTTATATTGCCAACATTGCAGCAGGAGCCAAATACAAGAAGGGACAGCAGAGACAATGTGTTAATAACTAGGCAAAAGCTGGGTCACTGAGGACTGAAGCAATGGTGGGTGAGTATCCAGATGGAAGCTGTGGGGATGCAGAAACTATGGAGCACCAACTTTTCAACATTGTATTGGACTCTACATAATGATATAACGCACACAGTTGAGGTCTACAAATGAACCGTGGAGGGCAGCAACAGGTCGTGGCTGCGTCTAGTCTGCTGAAATTTAAACCGAAGAAGAAAAAGAACTATGGGCGTGACACAGTACGACTCTATGATTGGCTGTTCGACTTGACCCACAACATCAACCATATATAACGAAGTAAAACAATGTCACTGACAGTTGGAAAGACTGATAAATAATATATATTTTTACCGAACTTACTTAACTAGCGTTAACCGAGCAAACCGTCTGTTTTTGACGCTCCTCTTTCGGACTGAAATGGCGAGTACTCTCGTGTCGAAGTTGTTTCGTCCCCATGTGTTCACACAGCTGGTAAGTTATCGACTAACTACGTTTCTACTGAGCTCTGCTAATGCTGTTTCCGTATGACTCGTGTGACTCTCCTGTCTTCCGTCCAGGCGTCTCTCCGGTCGGTTTGCGTGCCTCGACAGAAGGCAGCGGGGATCAGGCTTCTCTCCAGCGATCCGCCACCGGAGAACGTCAGTCGGTATCCAGTTCCGTACAGAAAAGATCTACCTTATGACCTGGTAGAGGTAATGGAGGAAGTTGAGTCAAAGGTATAAAAACAAAACAACGTATTAAACTCTTCAGATCGACTCTTATTTCAACTGCTAAACGTCCCGTTTATTTCTTTACAGGGAGGCTTTTTGCCCAATGTCTTCAAAACCCTTTCTCATAGACCAGCAGAGTTCAGAGCCTTCTTTGCTTACTACACTGAACTAATGAACAAAGAGACAGGTGTGTGTGTGTTTGTTATGTTTCTCTGTGGTGGCAGTTAATGCAAGTGGTGTTACTCGGGAGCGGTGATAGAATTTCTTGGCATCCTGAGGACAGTGCTTGGGCTCCTGAAACATGCTCCAGGGCCCCAGCATTCACACTTTACCCGTTATCCGGCTACTAGGTCAGACTTCACATCATCCACCACTTTAAGTAAGCCAAGATGTTATTTGTCTTCCTTTTGTTGGCACTATGCAAACTCCTTTTACAAGGCTGCACCCTGTTTGGCTTATGTTATGTACTACATTCCACAGGTGATCAGACTTGCACATTCAATAATGCAGACTGCGTCTTGTCTCTCACAGGATCTCTGCACACATAACTTACTTTTTTTTTTACCTCTCGTTGGGTTAAATGGTGTAGCCACTATAAGAAAGTAAGAGTAGTATAATTGTCAGCTGGCTGGCTGCTGCATGGTCGGCTGAATGTGACTGCTCTGTGCCACTCACTATACGTACAGTAGACGTCCACCCAGACAGCCATAACAAGCCGGGGAGACTGCAGAGAAAGTATCAAACCATAACCAATATTGGTCTCTAAGCATTCACACTTACAATTTACAATAACAATCTACCCTGAACAACACAATCAAACACTGAAGCCTCAGCATTCTCTTCCCATCCCACTGTCTCTACTAAACTGAACATCATAATGTTGTTTTAGGCATTGTAGCCACTTCTTGAATGTCGTGGATCTGTTCCAAGAGGAAGTTTCTCTTTTATCTGTAGAACCATATTGACTAAAACCAGCCAACCAGCTCTGATGCTGTGTACTTTATATATTATTGTTGTTGTGTAAGTGTATGTTATTGTTTTCACATTAATATGATGTCTACTGTGTTCCAGGCGGATTGACCAAGGCAGATCGTGAGCTGATTGTAGTAGCTACCAGTGTCCACAACAAATGTCTTTACTGTGTGGTATCCCACAGTGCATTGCACCGCATCTACTCTAAGAAACCCACTCTTTGCGATCAGGTATAAACTTTAATTGATTTTTACTACTTGCCCCTCCTTTGCTTTTTATAATACACAATTACTTCAATTGTCACTAAAGTGTAGTTAAGTTATACTAGACATTTGAATCAATCAGAGCAAAACTTTTTTTTTTGGTGATTCAAAAAAGTTATATATTAAATAAATCACTTAAATTTCCCACTATGTCTAATTATTTACCTCCCTATTTTCACGCAGGTCGTTGTTAACTATGAGAATGCGGAGCTGTCACCTCGGGAGAGAGCCATGCTGGACTTTGCGATGGCTGTGTGTCGCAGCGACGCCATCACAGAGCAGCATTTCCAGTCTTTGGAGGAAGTGGGCTTTGACCGTGACGATGCGTGGGACATCGCTGCCATCACTGCTTTCTTCGCCATGTCCAACCGGCTCGCCCACCTCACCGACATGAGGCCAAACTTAGAATTTTACAACATGGGCCGTATACCAAAGGACAAGAGCAAGGACAAGGGGAAAGTGAAAGGGGAGTAGCATTACAAGATCATTGATATTTTTGTAAATGCCTCAAATCAATCAAAAGTCTCCGAAGTGTTTTTTTGCCGGCCCTCCACTTTGAGCATAGTACGTCAAATTGAGGATTTTGCAAAGCTCCCCTAAGTATATGTGCTGTAGATGTAAATTGTGTCTTAATCCATATCATTTTTGATTGTGTGACTTTGACATTTTGAATTTTAGGCGGCTCTGGTTGTGGGGAAATGTTTTTTTTTTTTTTGCAGCTGGTTGTTCATTACATTACATTTACTGAAAATGTCATCGTTGCCTTCTGACTATCATGTTTGTGTCTTATGAAACATAATCGCTCGAAACTCCGAATCTCAAGCCAGCTCTTTATTTCCTTGTTCACAAGTTGAGTGCTTGGTGTTGCTCAATGCATTGTTACTGTGACTACCAGGAGTAGTTTAAATAAGTTGCTGACATTGTTCACAGCAATGTTAGATTGTGTTGTAAAGTTTAAAACTGCTTCTCAAAGCCTTTCCTTTATCTTTTCAATAAACTATTTTTCTTGATGATATGAACGAGTTGGCACTTATTTTTCTGACTTTACCACTTTTTTATTTTTTGGAAATAGTTGATTGTAACAGATCACCTGTATCACAGTTTGCTGCTGGCAGGACGGTCAATAGTGGGACAAGTAAAAATGAAGGAATCACAAAATGTTGGTGAAGTACTGTGTATCACTACCAGGTGGCACCACATCCATGCACATATTGTGTGTATGTGTACACTGCTAAACTATGATTTAAAGATGACTGATTTTATACCCCATAAGAGCTGCATATGTGAGAGACATTAGTCAACACCGCCTTATACAGTAGAGAGAAATACATATTTATTTGCTATTATTAGTTAAGCTAGCACATGGTTGGTGCAATCTTAGCTGTCATTTTCTATGTGATGTGATGAATCACTGTTCCTGATCTAATTTCTGTGTGCTGAACAACATTCTCTCCCAAAGTTTATTTTCTGGCAACCTACTTTTAATGCTGACGTCCCCTGTGCTGTCTATTATCCACAGAGATACAAGTCAAACATGACTCCAGGCGTCACCTAAGGTTTACTTTGGTGTGCATGTGTGAGTGATGTGTGAGGGCGTGTATGCAAATTCTTATTTTTGTGTGTGCATTTGAAAAATACCTCATTCACTTTGATATTTAAGAGTTATTCACAGTTGAGGAAATCGTCTGAAACCTAATCTATCGACTTTAGTAAAACTGATAGCTTCCTCCCAAGGCGTCTCCTGTCCTGTCCTGTCCTTATCCACCTCATATGTCTAAAGAACTGCTCATGTTCTAACTCGTCATTAGGCACCAACCCTCCTGACCCCCTTTTCTCTTATTAGTATTAAAAAGAGAAATCAGGCTCCAGACAAGGCTAAGTTATGGTCTGCTGCTGCCCTGTTGTCACTTATATTGTAACTCTTCAAGTCAAGAAAAAGAAGATAAATAAATAGACGATCACATGAAAACAAAGTTAATAGCTTTCAGGTGGAGGCTCTCACCCGTTTCTTATTATAGTTAGTACATTGATGGACAAATCAATATGATTATATTCCCGTTGCAAACTGTAAGAGGAGTCTCGGGAGGCCCAGTTCTGTGTCTTTGTTCTCCTGAGGTAGATAAAAGAAGTCGTGAAACACACGTCAAATGGCTGCATGATAGAGAGCTGGATAAAAGAGCTGAAGAGCAACAAAGTAATCAGTGAGGTTGTGGGTCAAAAGCAAAAAAAGATCACCAGTGAAGTAGACATCATTTATGAAGCTTAACTTTCATGTGGCAGGATATTACTGCAAAGTAAGGAGCAGTAGCAACATCCTTCATCTGAGTGTGGTGCAGCAACCAAACAACAATTTCTGAGCAGATTTTGCCTACACATTGCGGTATTTCACAGCAATCAAATTCAGCAAAAATTACAACAAAATCGGAATATATAAGAATCCCTTTACTACTCAGAGGTTTCACTTGAAAGCCACTCACATTATTTGTGATGAGTCATACAAATACGTAGGAATTTGGCTTGACAGCAGACTGTATTTCGAGGGTTCGAAAAATAAAAATGATTAGAAATTATATTTTTAGATGGATTTTTCTATTAATTGAGATGCTCTATTTACACACCAGAGATGCACTCGCACTTTGTGACTCATTGAAGAAAATGCAGGCAGGCATACAGGATGTATTCCAACCAAGCGAGCACATATGGGACATTAGTAAATGGATAGACACAAGGATGAGGCCATTATCTTCTGTGTCAGTTCCTGTTAAGAGTGTGCCTGCTCGTGTGCAAGTCTGCATATGCACAGTGTTGTGTTAATGTGTGTGGCCAGTAATTTACATTCTCCAGCAAAGTGTGTGTGTGTGTGTGTGTGTGTGTGTGTGTGTGTGTGTGTGTGTG